TTGAATTGCTAGAGGGTGGAAAGGAATCTCTATTTTCACTTAATCTAGGACTTGCTATCACCATCCGTCTGCTGTGGTTGAAGGTCTGTCTGTTGGCCTGTCACCACCTGAGTACATATCAATGGGCTGCTACCACAGTCTTCTACTCTTTGGTAGCATATTATATCAGCCTGCATAGCAATATTTATTGATGAGATTTGGCACTTTCAGAATAATACCCTTTTAAGTGGGTATTTGATATAGGGGAACCTGAAATAGGCAGAGAGTGATTTTCAAAGTCACTTAGTGGCAGAGACAGGAAAATGATTTGGAGGTGATTTTGTATTAAAAAACAAAAGTATAACTGAAAATTTTGAACATTTGGTATGTTGTTTTTCATCAACATCGCTTATAGTTGTTGAAAACAAATATGAATTTTTAATATCTTGGGGTTTTGGCATAGGAACAAAGTTAAAAATACTTTGTAAGGATGGCAGACAGGACTAACAGAAAGCATTGATGCATAATCATAAGCTATAAGGCATTTGTATTTACAGAAATACCAATCGGTGGAACTGACGTGCAAATCCGCACCAAACTGGAGTTTCATTGGCAGTCTTAGTAAAACTGTGGTGTAGCAAAGTACTTTACCATTTACAATGAATTAATATTTTGGAAGAAATACTTTGTAGAGCAATGATTAGAACGAACTATGCGCACAGAGAGGGGGAGAGGAAGCAGTTACCGGCAGAGGAACAGCTCATCTTGTGCTGTTTATTCATTGTCTTGAACTAAAAGCTCCACACAATTTATTGTTGGTCTTTGGGGCCTAATATGGGAGCTGGTGTGGCCTTATTGAGGTCACCCTTTGAAGTTGCTGCTGATAAAACAAAAAGCCTTCAGATAAGAGATTTAATTTCAGAATATAAAACCTTAACATTACATTTTAATTTCAATATACAATTTGGCATCTAATTAAACATGATCTAAAGTATATAATAATTTGGCTAATTTGGCTAAATAAGAAGCTTTACGAAGTACTGTTTGTAGCAGCTTCTACACATAACATGATGATTTTTCCAGAAATGAATACTTCACTAACTAACAAATGACTATTTAATATGTTGGGTAGTACTTGCTTCTTAGTTCTTGACTGATGGGTAGAATAACTCTTTAACTATTTGCAATCTATATTTTGTGCATGGCATTCAAGTTCATATTTCCTAGTTTTCACCATTCAATGAGATACAGATATTCATTTACAATAAGTTAACCTAGGACAACCAATTTTTATTTTGATATAACACTAGCACTTTTGTTATTAAAACAATTTAGAACATATTATTTATTTTTTATTTTGTGTCAGGAATAGTAATTGGGAACTTTTCCTAAATATATTATGACTGGAAAAAAAAATCAGTGATGCCACATCACTGACCCAGATTCTTTAAAATAGGTTAGTTATTATTATTATGTTTTTGTCAACATATCTTGATAAAAGCTCTAAACTGTATGAGCTAGAATACAAATCTACTCCAAGGAATAGGTCAACTACACCCAATTCATTGATAAGCAAGCTGTAAATGTCTGAAAAGGACTGCTGATATTTTCTATTAACACCTTTTTTAAAAATTACTGCCATGCTTTCCACAAAATTGAGCAAATATTATTTATTAAGCTTGCCTGCACAAAATTGGAGAAGAGCAAATGTTCATTACATACAGCTATTGGTTACATGCTAGATGATATCCTATTCATCCTCTCTTAGGACAGAAAGAGGCAGGCTGCATGGCTGGGCACCGAGGGTAGCCAGGGAGGGGGACTTCCAGTCTGCAACCTTGCAGTAAACTAACGCTGTCCTTTAAATATTCTAGACGTCGTCTTTTCAGTCTACCCTACCTAAAGTGCACTACCATCCAAGAAGACGAGCAGAGAACACCTCTGCGGAGGCTGAATTTTAAGGAAATAACCACGAGTAATGGTTCACTAAACTGAAAATGTGATTTGGGGTGGGGGGAAGTCAGATACTAAGTTTGATTAGTTTACTACAATTGTAAGAAAATGCTAAGTCATGTGAATAATAGACATCATCCACATCATAAATTCTGTACAACAGATGCTTTTATGAAACGGAGCCACCTGTTTTTTTCATGTTTTATTGTAATATACTAGGCATTTCTGTATTACTGTGTATGTATTTCCTTTTAAATGTCTAAGTCTTATGTAAATGGATATAAATATGATTTTTAAAAAAATAAAATATATGGTTCATGGAGTCTCAAGTGCAAACATTTGACAATACCAAGTACTGTTTGTATTTTACCATTCTGCCATTTTTACAGTTTTTGAATTCTAAAGGTCAAATGGATGTTTCATGCTTCCACGTCTCACCTTCCAGTCTGTCAATACTTAAAGCTGAAAACCTGCCTCTGATCGTGTAAAAAAGAATGATTTAACCTGGAACCGGAGCCAAAAACAGACCTTTAAAGGCAATCAGGGATGTCCTCTCTCTTTAGAAATAGCACTGTGACGGCTCGATCTCCTTTTCAAGACAAAACAAAGCCAAACTGTTTACAAGAGTCAAAACAACTATTTAAAAACATTTATAAAGAAAAATCATGATCTTCTCTTGTTACCTGTGGACCAATATAATTTTTTTTTTCTTTCCTAAGAGCCACATGTTCATTCAAATATCTTGAACCGCCAGCCAGCACTGCTCAGTGAACGCCAACCACTGCAGAGTCTGAGGTTCATGTCCACTGGAAGGAAACAAACCCCGCACCCTCCCCTTTGTCAGTGCGACAGGGCACTAGCCAGAGTCATGTCTAACGTTATGAGCTTTTAGCCGAGATGGCCTTGTTTCGACTTCCCTGAAGTCAATCTTATCAGAGGAAATAAATGAAAGACAGAATGATTAACATATATAGTGTATAAAGTATAGAAGAGTAATCTCTTCCCTGTGGCTTTATTTGGTGGTGTTACTGTTGTTTATTCTTTGTTTCTATGGAAGATTTCAAAGTAAAACCTATTTAAAAATACATTTATCTATCTGCTGATTTCCTGCTGTTTAATCTTATTAAGCGCAAGACCTGTCATTGGTAATTTCATTTTTTTGTATTTAATTTACTATGTTTGCACGTACATGACATTTGTTTTGATGTCTATTTTTGTTTGAACCGATTCAGTCAAAAGATAATGGTAACAGAAACTCTCTCCATTGTCAATAAAAAAGGAATACTTCCAGTTCTCTGTTTAAGCTTTGTTTTCTGGTCACATAAAGTTTAACAATTGACTTAAACTTGTTCTTTTAGGGACTGTCTCGGTTAGTGAGTTGGCCACAAGAGGGAGCAGTCACCTTGCTGATGAGAGTGACTTTAAATGTGCTAGAATGTTGCCTGGGCAGGAAAGATGCAAAGAGCCTTTTAAGCTCATCTAAACATGGGGATATTGACCTACAGAAGTCAAATGTAATGTAGAAACTATGATATTATAACAATATAACCTAGATTTGTGTCTACTCTTATACAGGATTTAATGGCATAAATTTTCTCCCTGTTAGAGATCACCAGCAAGAAATATTAATAATTTATAATAGACTCAAATATATAGGGGTAAAAAGAGCCAGCTATGTGTCTCAACAAAGCATAAAGTACCTTTTAATGTATAGAATAATATCTGCCCGATTCTAAAATCCACTTAAACCATTTAATGACCATCTAGTAATATTATGAATTTTCACATATTTAATAGTCAAAGCCTTTACAAATAAAATTTTATATAAATCAAGCTGCTTTTTAAATGCAAAACAGGTCTTGATTGTATACATGCAGTATATTTTTATAAGCAAAATAATTCGAAAAACACATTTATAGATTTTTAAAGAAAATCTCTATATTTTAATTTTTCCAATGTCTTACAGTAAAAAAAAATTACGAAAATATGAATGATAATACAGAATTAATTTCAGCAAATTTAAATGTGATTGCATTTTTTAGTAACATTATACTGTCATTTTTAAAGGTACATTTAGCCCGGCCAGTGTGGCTCAGTGGTTGAGCATCGACCCATGCACCAGGAGTTCGACAGCTGGATTCCCAGTCAGGGCACATCCCCAGGTTGTGGACCCGATCCCCATTGGGGAGCATGCAGGAGGCGGCCAATGGATGTTTCTCTCTCTCTCTCTCTTTCTCTCTCTCTCTCTCCTTTCCTCTTTCTCAAAATTAATGAAAAAAATAAAAATAAAGGAACGTTTATTCTGAATATTTTAGGTACTAAGTAGTAAAAGTGCTTTATGATAAAAGTATTAAAATAGAAAATTCAGTTTTTTCTTCCAAAATTTAAGCAATCTGATGACTTAAGTGTATCCTTTACCCTACATTTATTAATATAAAAGTGACATCCTTTGACCCTGCAAAAGAGATGAATTTCCTCAACCAGATACAAGAAAAAGCTGATTTTCCTGGCTTGTGCATTGTTTTTTTTTCTCACTCAACTGGAAAATAGCTCAAGCCTGCTTGCCAAAGTGTCACTTTAGATGTGAGTACCAGGAAAAATGTGCAAGAGGACCAAAGATATAACCTCTACACACTCCTTGCTCCTGTGTAATATACCTCAAGTAGACCTTATAGGTATAGGTAAATATAGGTATATTTATGCCTTACAAATGATACACTTTCAGCTGAAAAATTTGCCATCTCAAATGAACTGAATTCTATATGAAAAAGTAAGGTAATACTATTGAATGCTAAGATATAACAAATAGATTATTTGTTAAGATTACAGATGTGATAATGGATTAAATGTGCCCAAAAGAAGCTACAGTTTAAGGAACCCTACAGGCTCAAATTATAAATTGAATGTCTATCTAATTTAATTTAGCCTACTAAAATAATTAATGAAAACAACTAGATAAATATAATTTTTCCAGGTGTAACAATCAAGAAGCCAGTTTAAGCAAATAGAGATTTACTTGAAGAAGTCATTTATTTTCATAGCCTATGGTCCAAGTAAAAAGCACACATTTTCAAAATGTCTTGATACAGGTTGTAAGCAATTTTATAAAAGAAACGAGTAAATCTTCTCTTTATCTAGACATATTTCTTATACCCAAACTATTATATCAGGACAGCGGTTCTTCAAAGTAATGTTCCTGATGCACTGAAAGACTAAGGGATACTTTGAGTCCCCTCAAAGATTCAATGGGCATGGTTAATATTTTTGTGTTTAAATTTATTTATTCTTTGATTACTGATAATATGTCCAACACTATGCAAATCAAATATTTAATTATCTATATCTATTTTGGTTAATTGGCACAGGACCGTAAGCTTATTAACAAAGACTCATATTCCATTTTTAAAAATTCTCAATCGTTTTATAGAAGGTTAAATGGAAAGGTGTGCTCAGATGTCACCATGTTTTCTTAGTGGGTTATTTACAAATGAGAGATTTTACCTAAAAAATCTGATTTTTTCGGTTTCTCATAGCACAAAATAAAAACTTGAACATTTTCTCCTGAAGAGCTCTCTTTGCCAGTCTACCCCATTTCCACACCATCTCCTTGTTTCCATAGAAGCTGAAATCACCAAGTGCACAGTCAGCTAAGACCTTGCGACAGGAGGAGCGGCTATGAAAGGCCCTCATCTCCATGACAAAGAGAAAGCATTAGGTGACCTCCAGGCACCTGCTTTCCCCTAAGTGACAAATGACCTGACCTCAGAGCTCTACCCAGGAAGCCAGCCTTCCCTCAGGAAATGACTAGACAGGCCCTGCTACCGAGAGAATCGGCTGATTAGGTGATTACCACACATGTGGGCAACTCAAGAGTATTAGAAAGCATTCCAAATTTCCGTAAGAAAAATTGTAATTGTTTTCTGACTTAAACTTGAGCTTCAGGTTTTGGGTCAAACCTGCAGGTTCCTATTTTTAGGAAGTGGCTCTATATTCATGTCCTTTTCAATGAAAATGCTTTTATTAGGGGAGGGTACAATTATTTAAAAAATTATACATTCAATCTATTTTTCTAAAAGCAAAGTGCCAGACAACTTATAATGAGCCATGTTTCAGGTAATGGATAACAATGCTAATTGGGTGTAATCGCTACTCTTCCAGTGCATTTTTTAGACCAAGCTTCACAATTCACATTTCACTTTGCAAGTACTTTCTATTTAAATATTTATTTCTGGGAAATAATTCAAAAAACTTGGCTTCGGTTAGAAAATTGACTTGGAAAAGAGTCAGGATGCCTGTTTCAGCACTTCCTCTATGTGCCTGAAAATGCTGGGGTCTTCGATTGTGGGCGTCACCTGGAAAGGAAATGAGAAATATGAGTGCCCCTCCTAGAAACTCACTCTCCCTATAAGGAATCACGTGCCATGTTGTGTCGCCCTTTATCTTATATGAATATTACCTTATAATACTCGTGTGGAAGTGTTTAGAAATAGGAAACTTTGGACCTAATATTTAAAAGTGTATCTACAGCTTTCCAGAATGATAAAATAAACTGTTCTATTAGCAAAACTCTTGGTCCTCAATGCTACTTTCTGCAGAATTCCTCTTATGAGACTTTCCAAGTGCCTCTATGAAAAGACAATGAAAGGATTTCTCATTTGCTCGTGCAACTGCTCTATTAAAATATGTATATCTATGCGTATACAATATGCAAACAAATTTTAAAAATACAGATGCTTGCATCAGCCTAAAGTTTTCTAAAATAGTACAATTAGCGTGTGTATTGATTAGAAGTGTTGAAACACATACAGCCAGCCTCAATTACATGCTTTCTCACTAATAGCCATTAATAATTACAATGAAGAAAAATGTACCTTTAATTCAATAAAACTGCATTTTCACAAGTTTGTTTGAATTTAACTGACATATTTACTAATAGTAAAAATATTTTCACACACTGATTCTTGTCTTCTCAAAGCATATGGTTTCAATTAATCTGTGTTTCTCCCAAACCATTATTCCTACAGAGAGAGTATCTATGCAGTTTCTCATTCAACATTTAAAAAGTGCTATTATGTGTATTTTAGGGATACAAAGTCATGCTTAGGAACCATTTTTGAGAGCTTTGCTGATGCTCAAGAAATGGGGATAAACCATTTCAGAACTCAGCACTAAACCTCCTTGATACTTTACCTTATAAGGCTTGCCATTGACGAGGGCAGACAGAGCTGAGCGGGGAATTTTGCCAGATCTAGTTTTGGGTAATTGTTTGACAAAAACTGCATTTCGAAAAGCAGCCACGGGGCCAATGCTTTGTCTGACATGTTTCACGATTTCTTCCAAAACTTGTTCCTCGGTTGTGTTTATACCTAGGGGGAAAGTTAAGATGGTAAGCATGGAATTAACCCTAGCTAATCATTCAGAACCCAAACGGAGAGGACAAAGCTCCCTTACCTTTTCTCAACACGCAGAGGGCTAAGGGCACATGACCTTTCAGAGGATCCTCCTTGCCAACAACGGCGCAGTCGGCCACGGTGCCGTGGGAAAGCACCGACTGCAATAAGGAAAGGCATTCATTTAGCGTGTGCCTGTGTGTAAATTATTTCAGTTGGGAGTATAAGTACATGTTAGAGAACTTAAAAACCCATAGCTGTCTGTGTGAAGATGACTAAGTCACAATTCATATCATTACCACTGGGGTGAATGGTTAGGAGCCCCAAGGTGGTCACTCACGAAAGGCTGACAGTAATTAAGAAAAATTGCTTAGCTTACCTGGAAAGTAATGGATTTGCTTTTTTCATCTCAATTATTGATTAATGAAGTCAGGGAAAATATGCAGTGGATACCACATGTAAACAAATTGCAACAGGCCCACCAGAGGAGCCCATGGCAGCCCAGGACTAAATGCATAGTGCTTTTATGTTTGCACCTGTTACTACGCAAAGAAGAGAGCGTTTATTTTCTTGAGTGACCACCCAACCAGAGAGGACTTTCCAAAGCAAAATAAGAGACTGGACATGGGGTGAAGTCCTGGCGTCAGGAATAACCATGGTCGAGGCACCTTTTCATGTCGCTCACCCTGAGCTCTCGGCGTCTTCCAGAACAAAGCAGCTACCTATCTGCGATCACAAGAACCAGCAGAGTAACCACAAGAAACACAGGCTGAGGATATAAAAAGCCATTTCTGCTGTGATGGGATTTTGTAAATGCATATCCAGAAAGTCTTTATCTGAAAAATACATATTTCAGTGACTGCAAATCTCTAATGGCTAGAGAAAACAGTAATACTCCAACAGCTCATTTAGCAGTTCTCATTCTTCCTTCCAGGTATTCACTCAACAAAGATTTCCTAAATCCCTCCTGTGTTCCAACCACTGCGCCAGGCTCCGTGGTGAGCAAAATAGGCAGAGCATGATCTCATGGTGCCTAGTGTCTAACAGGGGAGACCAATATTAATCAATCATAAATATGTAATTATTATAAATGTCTAAATATAAGAGTGGTGAGGGCTTTGGGGAAATAACTTGGGTTTTCATGTGCAAAATAGAACAAAAGTAACCAAATTGGCAGAAGGATATGAATGTCAGAGAAGCTTTCCCTTAAGATATGACAAGCTCAGGTCTAAAGGATTAGTAGACGCTGATTGGGCGAGGAGGAGGAGCCCTGTGGAAGGGCAGTGCGTGTCCATTCACGCCTGAAAGAAACTCGTGTGGCTAGAAAGCCAGAGCCAGACTGAGAAAAAGGAGCTGCAGAAGTCATGAGAGGCTGCGCAAAGAGCTTCCAACTGCAGTTCTAGCAGCTTTGGGAAGGTAGTACGCACTTTCCGTAGTTCAGGAAGAGATGCAAGATCAGGTGGACTTCTTACATCTACTTTAATTTTTTAGAGTAGTTTTAGGTTCGCAGAAAACTGAGCAGAAGTACAGAAAGTTCCCGTGTACCTCCTGCCCCTGCAAAGAACAGCCTTCCCACCATCAAAGCCTTCACCATCATGGTATATTTGTTATAACTGATGAACCAACACTGACACAGCATGATCACCTTAGTTCATAGTTTACTTTAGAGTTCGCTCTTGGTGTTGTACATTATGTATGCTTTATTGTTTTTTTGTCTTTATTGATTTTTAGAGAGAGAGGAAGGGAGAGGGAGAAAAAGAAAGAAACATCTATGACACAGAACACTGATTGGCCGCCTCCTGCATGCCCCGCACTGGGGATTTGGCCCACAACCTGGGCATGTGCCCTGACCAGGAATCAAACTGGCGACCTCTCGGTGCATGGGTCGACACTCAACCACTGAGCCACACTGGCCCAGCCATTCCATGTGCTTTATGACATGTATCCACTATTATAATATTTGATAGGCAGGCTTCACTGCCCTAAAATCCCCTGAGCTCTGCCTGTTCATCACTCACTTCCCTCTAACCCCTGGCAACCAATGATTTTTACTGTCTCCAGAGTCCTTTTCCACAATGCCATGTAGGTGGAATAATACAGTGTACAGCATTTTCAGATTGGCTTCTTTCACTTTAGAGTGGATTTTGAAAAACACAAACTTGTTTCATTGTGGAGAATAATCAGAGGGTTGCTTAGAGTATCACCTTCTGTGCAGTGAAACCATCTGAGAGGCTGCTTTATCGTAGACCAAGGACGGTAGTGGGTGAAGTAAAATGGATACAGGTGATAAACTGGAGATGGAGCATGGGTTAAGAATGATTCTGTGTATTTGGTTTGAGCAGCTGGTTGGATAGTGGTGTCATTTTCTAAGCAAGAAAATGATAGTGAGGGCTGAGCTTGAGAGGAAAGATCACGTAATAAGTCTTGGACATGTTTTGTTGAAGCTCCCTTGATACATCCGAGTCGAAGCAGTTGGAGCTGAGGAGAGTCTCGACTCGGGGACGCGTATTTGAATGTCATTAACGTACAGATGCTCGTGAAAGCTGTGGGCGTGGATGGGATTACGGAGAAAACAGTGAGAAGAAATGAGCGAAGGAACGCCAGTACCTGATGCCTACACACACACACACACACACACGCACACACACACACACACAGAAGAAGCTGGCAAACTAGACTAAAGAAGGCACAACCAGACAGGTAGGAGAAAAATCAGCAGTCTGGGACATTTCACTTCCAACCCCCAAATTTTCCATAAAGAAACTTTTTTTCTCTTGATTAAGCCAAGTTGAAAATATATTTTTCTCCTCTTAACTCCTGAAAAACTCAATGAACTGCTACAATGTGATACAAACCCAGTGTATCATCTCACAGGGCCCTAATTAATGATACAAGTCAACATTTCTCTTCTACCCTATCGCTAGCACCCACTGTGAAGTACTGAGTTGTAAGGGTTCTCATCCACCGTTTTTGACTTCTGCAGTGCCGCGAGTAGGATGTGTTAAATAAATAATTTTTGTTTTATCAGCTTCATTGCTAAGGTAATGACATCCATGCCCTCTTTCCATAAGTCAGGCCTGACTAAAAAGCTTCTGCAAAACACAGACTGCAGAGACCTTGCAATACCACCTTGTCCCACTGCTGCAACTTGAACTCTCACGATGCTTCCAACAGCTTTCCCATTTGTTAACGTCTTATTTACTTTTTTAGGTTTGTGGGTGGAGTGTAGAAACAAAATTTTTAAATATGTTTTATTGTTTTTTTTTGTTTTTTTTTTAGAGAGAGAGGAAGGAAGAGAGAGATAGAAACATTCATGTGAGAGAGAAACAGCAATCAGCTGCCTCCTGCATGCCCCCCACTGGGGATGGGGCCCACAACCTGGGCATGTGTCCTGACCAGGAATCGAACTGGCGACCTCTTGGTGCATGGGTCGATGCTCAACCACTGAGCCACACCAGCTGAGCTCACATTGTTATTTTAATTTCACCATGTTTCCATCCTCAGTCTTAGTGTTTTAGAAGTAAATGGGAAAATGTTGACTGGCTTTCTGTAAGGGTAGGAAGTATTTTAAAATCAGAATTAATACATAACACAGCTATCTTTGCTATCAAATGTTCCCATTTTTTGCCGACTCTGCATAAATTCTTAAAAATCTGTGAGAAACAATCCCTTTCCATAACTGCATGTCATTTGTAAATGAGGTTCATTATTATAGTGGATAAAATTACATTGATCTGTCAGTGTTAAAAAGATACCATCAAGGAAGGGAGGCAACTTTCTATGTTGGCCCCTCCAACAAAGCTGGCATGCCAAACAATGATTTCAACAACTGAGTCGTTAAAAAAAGAAAGCATCAAAATGTGCCTTAGCAGCATTTGAGGGACAGAAGCCAGCCAAATGTCTTGTGGAGAAAAACAATTAAAAGCCATGTTTGTATACTCCCTTCATATAAATTCCATAGTGCATCTGTGGTTAACAATAGGCAAATACCCCTCTCCGTCACAAAAAAAGATACAACTTAAACTGTAATAGTCTCACCAAGAGTGAGCGTATAAAGGTTACGGAACAGGTCTGGCAAATGTCTGCCATTCATTGTTACAGGTGTACTGTCACCTTTGTGTATGTTTTAATGAATTTTAAAGTCTGTGCCTTTAGTGGGCTACATTATATCTGCTTCTTAATTCTGTTTCGAAGTATTTTCATATAAGACAACATGATTTGTTTATTTATTTTATTTTTAGAGAGAGAGGAAGTGAGAGGAAGAGAGAGATAGAAGCATCGATGAGAGAGAACATCGATTGACCGCCTCCTGCATGCCCCCCACAGGGGATTGGGCCCACAACCTCAGCATGTGCCCCAACCAGGAACCGAACCAATGACCCCTTGGTGCATGGGTCGATGCTCAAACACTGAGCCATACCAGCCGGGCTAGAGAACATGATTTAAATCAAGCACCCTCGATGATGTAAAGAGCTGAAGAAGAGAAATGTTTTTTCCATCTCTTTTGACCTTAGAGTTATCTAGAAAATGGCCAGATTCCACACCTTCATCAACAGTCACATTGATGTACTATGGAAAATGTTCAGCTATTTTACAACTATGTAAACCCAGGAATCAGTTAACACTGGGTAGACTGAAACTGCACAGCATCTTTGTTGAGCATGCACTTTATAGAAATATGTTCAGTTTCAAAGAAATCATTCCTAAAATAAATAGCTTACTTGGCAAACAAACAATGTCATATTGGTCAGAACAACCTTCAAAGGGCAAATTATACGTGTACACTGCCCTGGGCTTTAAATGCAATAATTTAACACCAAATTTCCAAGTTCCCAAAGCTATTTCCAGGATTATTTAACAAACTGAAACTTAAGCGACCAGAAAAAGAATAAAACAGAAAGCCCAATTTGTTGTTCCTTGGAGATATTTCTTTGCATGAAAAGGTCTGCTCACAACTGTGAAAGAGAACCAAGCATGAAGGACAACATTGACTCCTAGTCATTTTGGCCCAGAAGTCCTGAACTAGCAGTTTTCAGATCTAATTTCCTTAAGAACATCTTGAACTCCCACCAAAGAGTCCCAAATGTCCAGCTAGGTGCTAGGCTTTTAAAGATTAATCAACTGTTCAAATAAATATGATTATTACTTAATAGTTACAAAA